CTTAAAATTTTATTTTCAATTCTTTTGATGTAGTTGATGTGGTATTTTGCAGCGGAACCCCAAACTGGGCTAGCATATGTGATGATGGGACGCAAATAGTACATGTAAATAATTAGTTTATTATCCAAGGATAAGAGGGATTTTCTATTAATGAATGGATAAAGAACAAAAACGTTCTTTATTAATATTAATGAAATATAATAATAGTGATGTTTTCATTTTCATTTAAAAATTATTATTGATATTTTTTATTGGCTGTAGCCTTCAAATTTAATAGTAAAATAATCTTGTTATGTGTTTATATAATGAAAATGATATAAAACGATTTCATGCAAAAAATTTTTATAATATTATTAATGAAAACTTTTTATTTAATTTCATTAAAGGTTTTTTTTATCATATTTTTACAACATAGAGCAAACGATTTCTCTAGAAAAATTCTTGGATTTGAGTTCCTTACAGTAATTAAAAATTTATTTAACGTAGTTTCGAGTCTAATAACTAAAACTTTGCTTTCGTGGAAAATTAATTAATTGCAGTATAAAGCACATTTAAAAGAAAAAATTCTCAATTCTTCAAATTTTAATTTTAATTGTGAAACAAAAGAATATTGAATAAGTTTTCTAAAAAAGACTAAAAAAAGAGTTTCTGCACGATCAATAAAAAAGGGTCATTATGAGCTCATGGGGAAACCAGCTCGCTTTTCAATATACAGTTACGCGATTAAAATGAAATCTTTAGAATTTCCTGTAATTATTATGTAAGCAATGAACGTATTTGATCTTTCATTATCATATAATAAAAATACTAAACTTGATCAGATAATTAGTTATCAAATAAAAAAAAAGAGGAATTAACATTAAAAAAAAAATAGAAAAGAAATAATAATAATAGTAAAGTTTTTACTTTGATTTTGATCTATTATAATTCTGATTAAAATTTAAAAACATCGGTTGTTTTTATTAAATTTGATTCAAAATTATTGTATTAAATGATATTTTACTTGTCGTATCGTATGATGATTTGCATTATTTATTAAATGTAGATTTCTAAATATTCTTATGAAACGTTGTTGTACGTCTTACTTAAAAACACAATTTATTATCTAAAATCCCAAATATTGCGATATTAAATGAATAGTGAATTGCAAATCTAAATGGCAAACATTGCAATATTAAATGAATATTGAATTGCAAATCTAAATGCCAAACATTGCAATATTAAATGAATATTGAATTGCGAAACTAAATGCCAACTATTGCATCATTAAGTGAACATTATTCTGAAATAAACGAAAAAAAAAAATCTTTAGAAAATTATTAACCCTAATATTGGATGCATTGAACGCCAAATAAATAAATAAATACAAATAAAAAATAATACAAATATAAAGATATTTCTACAACATTCATATATTTTACTGGAAAAAAAAACCACGTTCTTTATTAATATGATTGAAATATAATAATAGTATTGTTTTCATTTTCATTTCAAAATTTAGGTCTGTAATTATTATACAAATTTTATTGGTTGTGGTCTTCAAATTTAATATAAAAATTAATTTTGTTATGTATTTATGAAAGAAAAATGATATTGAAGCCCGGTGTTTGAAGTGTGGTGAGGAACATTCACATAAGGACTGTAAACTATTTGATAAGCTTGAAATTCCAACTTGCATTAACTGCGGACAGTCGGGACACACAGCCGCCTGGAGAGGTTGCGCCAAGTTTCCCAAAATAAAAGTTAACTCCACCAAGTACGCCACATACCCAAAACACGTATCAGCCAGACAGGTGACACCAAACTTTTCCTATGCTTCGGCAACGAAAAATCAACCACCATCTCAACAACCAGCCACTACTGCCACCATCAACAATGACTTCTCCCAAAATCAATTGACTCACTTACGGAGCATCGCGGATCAAGCCCCCTTTATCCAAAATGCTTTGCTACTTATGAAAGAATTTGTATCCATTTTCTCGGAATTAAAAAACTCTGGAGAACTTCTCCAACAAATTAGAAACGCGGATAACAAGGTAGATAAATTGCAGGTCTTCATTAATGGCCTAGCAACTCAAACAACCCAAGTTTCCAAGTTCTAAGTTTTTATTTTTACTTTAAAATTATGCAATGTGTTTTACATTTACTATGGGCCTTGAGCCGACTGACAATATTTTTATGTTGCAACTAGGAGGTTTTGGTCGCTTCGCAACCAAGGTACTCCGTTCACCTACACCGATTAAAAAAAAAATGATATTGAACGATTTCATGCATAAATTTTTATTTATATTATTAATGAAAACTTTTTATTTTCATTTCATCAAACTTTTTTATGATTCGAACAACATAGAGCAAACGATTTCACTAGAAAAATTCGACCGATTCACCGATTCAAAAAAATTATATTGAACGATTTCATGCATAAATTTTTATTTATATTATTAATGAAAACTTTTTATTTTCATTTCATCAAACTTTTTTTTATGATTCGAACAACATAGAGCAAACGATTTCACTAGAAAAATTCGACCGATTCACCGATTCAAAAAAAAATGATATTGAACGATTTCATGCATAAATTTTTATTTATATTATTAATGAAAACTTTTTATTTTCATTTCATCAAACTTTTTTTTATGATTCGAACAACATAGAGCAAACGATTTCACTAGAAAAATTCGTGGATGGAAGTTCTTTACTGTAATGCAAAATTTATTTATCGTAGTTTCCAATATAATAATAATAATAAAAAACCTTTCATTCTTGGGAAATTAATTAAGGTAGTAAAAGCATATTTAAAAGAAAAAAAAATTTCAATTCTTCAAATTTTAATTTTAATTATAAAACAAAAGAATATTGAATAAGTTTTCTAAAAAATGACTGAAAAGAGTTTTTTCTACACGATCAATGAAAAAGGGTCGTTATGAGGTCGTGGGTAAAACTAGCTCGCTTTTCAATATGCAGTTACGCGATTAAAATGAAGTCTTTAGAATTTTCTGTAATTATTAGAGAGTTTTTGCATACCGTACGTTAGTTACCGTAGGACGTCCGTTAGATTTTTCTTCCTAGCGCGCATGCTCATAGGAAACATTATTACAGATACGCATGCGCAGTTTCCTATGAGCATGCGCGCTAGGGAGAAAAAGCTAACGGACGTCCTACGGTAACTAACGTACGGTATGCAAAAACTCCCTATTATTTAAGCGAAGAACGTATTTTATCTTTCATTAGCATACAATTTAAGATCAAATATCAAAATAAAGAAAAATTACTACTATTACTTATCAAATAAAAAAAAAAAAAAAGTTATATATAAAATTTTTTTTTTTAAGTCAAATTCCTACTTTTTTTTTCACTATATTGCAGAAAAGTCCTTTACAAATAAAGTCGAAATTTTCCTCTTACATCTGGCGCCATCTATTATTAGATACATGCAACTTAAATCTAAAAATTTTTTAATTAATTAATTAAATTTAATTACTGAATTAATATTTGAAAAAACCGTATTAACATCAAGTGTCATCTACTACAAGTTCAAAAAAAATGTATCTGAACTTGTGTGGATGAATAAAAAGTATTTTATGAACGATTGAAAATTTGAACAAGATATATATAAGGAGAGTGTGAACTAATAATAGGAATTTAATAATAAAAAAAAAAGAAAGAAAGAGGAATTAACATTAGAAAAAAAAAATAAAGAAAATAATAAAATTTTGCTTTGAATTTAATCCATTATAATTTTGAATAAAACTTAAAAACATCCATTGTTTATTTCCCTTTTATTAAGTTTGATTCAAAATGAGGTAATAATAGTGAATCGTATCGTTATATATATCAATTATATAACGTGGTAATAATAGGTGCATTTTCATGGAATGAAAATTTACTTGTTACATTTAATGGTTTTATATTTTGCGTGTCGTATCGTATGATGATTTATATTATTTATTATATGGAAGTTTCTAAATATTTTTAGGAAACGTTGTATACTAGTTCATAAATCTTACTTAAAAACACAATTTTTTTTTATTTAAAATGCTAAATATAAAAGCCAAATATTTATTAAATGAATAATATATTACAGAACTAAATGTTAAAATTGCGATATTAAATGAATATTGAATTGCAAAACTGAATTCCATATGTTGTGATATTAAATAAACATTATTTAGATATAAAATTAAAAAAAAAAAAAAATCTCAAGAAAATTAATGATTCTCAATATTGGATACGTTGAATGTAAAATAAAAAAATAAATGAAAATAAAATAAAAATGAAATTGTAATTGGGTGGGCCGATATACAGGCTACCGATAAAAGTTAGAATTTAACGTGAGAACAAAATTCATAACACCAATCTGACAAACAAATAAAAAGTATCAATGAATCATATTGAGGCAATAAATTATGATCGGCATTTACCATTCCAAACTGAAAAAAAAAATTTTTAAACAATTTTATTAAAAAAATAGTAAAATCATTTGGAATTCGATAGTTTTTTTTTAAATTTTATTTCTTTTTTATTATTTTTTTTTTTTTATAGAATTTTGGAATTGTAAAAAATAAAAAAATAAAAAAAATATTGAATTCAAGATTTTATAAGAAACCACATGAAAAAAAATTTAATTAAAAAAAGCACGTGAATAAAATTTAAATAAATATTATGTATAAAAAATTCATGAAAGAATTAAAAAAAAAAAATTTCAGATGACAGTGTGAAAATTTCCAAAATTGAAAGTAGTTGTCACTAAAAACTTTTCTCTCTAAAACAATATCCATACATTGTATGGAAAAGTAAACGTTCTTTATTAATATTATTGAAATATAATAATAGTGTCGTTTTGATTTTTATTTCAAAATTTAGGTCAACAATTATTATAGAATTATTATGAATATATTGAACTGCAAAACTAAATGCCAAATAATGCAATAAAAACACAATTTATTATTTAGAATGGCAAATATTGCAATATTCACTGAATATTGAATTGCCAAAATTAAATACCATGCTGAATATACCGGTTCTCGTTAGATCACCGAAGTCAAGCATCAATGGGCGCGGTCAGTACTATTGGGTAAACATTCTGGGAAAAAAAACTCGTGCCGTTGGCAAATTTGGGACCTGAATGGCCGAGTGTCTAGCGCTCTGGCGCTCGGTGCCAAAGGTTTCAGGTTGAAAATGCCAAGATGTTTGTAGTGTGTTCGGAAAAAAAATTTAGGCTTCTACCTACGGGTGCTCCATCACAACAGAAGCTGCTTCCTTCCCTTCAATCATGAGTCCATATGGGCTCGTGGGCTTGAAAAAGTGGGATAAGAAACAACAACAAACAATATTGAATTGCAAAATTAAATGCAAAATATTGCAATATTGTATGAATATTGAATTGCAAAGCTAAATGGCAAATGTTGTAATATTAAATAAACATTCTGAAATAAAAGAAGAAAAAAAAAAAACCTCGAAAATTAATAACTCTGAATATTGGATGCATTGATTGTCTAATAAATAAATAAATAAATAAAAATGAAAATAAAGATAAAATTTAATCGGCTGGCCGATATATATAGCTTAGCCAAAAAAATTTAGAATTTAATATAATAACAAAACGTGTAACAGCAATCTTAAACAAACAAACAAAGAAAGAAAAAAATCGAAAAATCATATTCAGGCAATAAATTATGCTCATCAGTTATCGCTCAAACTCAAAAAAGAAAGCAGATTAAATTATAAAAAAATGAAAAATGGATTTCCAAACGATTTTATGAAAGAAATACGTGAAAAAAAAGATTAAAAAAAACAACAGCTATCGGCTTCCAAACGATTTTATTAAATATATATATATATATATATAAAAAAACTATCGAATTCCAAGCAATTTTATAAAAAACCACGTGAAAAAAATTTAATAGAAAGGCACGGGAAAGGAATTTAAATAACCCAATAAGAATAGATCTTGAAAGAAACTAATAAACCAATAAGAAACGTTGATAGTGGCCCAGGATATCTCTGACCTACTCTCATCAAAAGAATACTCATATATTAACTAAACTAAAATAAAATAAACATGAAACGATAAAAGAGGCTTATACTTCGAGTTTTATATCTTTGTAAACACTTGAAAATGTCATAATTCTTAACTTGGAACTGATAATCCGAGTTTATCGAATTTAACAAAACAATTATTTTTGTAGTACAGGAATAGCTAAATTTGAGGTATTACTAACTATGTGTGGAAATTATTCATTGCCATTTACCAAGTTGATCACTTTTTCTAATTTTTAAGCTATTAATACATTATTCAAAGTTGTATTCTATACAAAATAAAATATTTCAAATAAATTTAAAAAAAGAAAGCTTATTGATGGAAATGATTAATAAAAATATTCGATATAACGGATTGATAATATTATTTTTCAAAGAATATATTGTACAATTAATAATTATACAAGTAATATTCAATATTATTCTACAATGCGCATAATTAAATATCGTGCCTTATACAGGGTGATTATAATTAAAGTTCCACTTTCAAACTGCTGTAAAAAAAGAACCACTCGTCATAATGAGTTCAAATTTGTGCAAAGTGCATTAATGGATGGCGTTGTAAGCGGCATAAAGAAAGGGAACGCGGCTGCCAGTGATATTTTGAATCGAAATGACAACTTATTTGACATGAGTTGCACATTAAGCCAACTGTAGTGTTCAATTGCTTGATTGTTTCGGTTTTTTGACGGAAAAAAGGACTTGCAAGTAATTCAACAGTTGTGACACTGTTAATGGAAAGCCATCCACCTCGGCAAGGTCAAATTGGATGGGAAAAATCGTTGGAACGTTTTTTTTTATGCCGTACCGTTTCCCCCTTCTTCAAGTATCTTCAGTTCAAATTTAAATTCATTGTGACGAGTGTTTCTTTTTTTACAGCATTTTGAAAGGGGGACTTCAATTATAATCACCCTGTACATCGTAGAGTGTCTCTATTAATATGTAATAGAGACTCTCTACGATGTACAGGGTGATCGTAGTTATTTTGATCGATGTTATCAAAGAGAACTATTAGTAGATTATATCTTTACTTAAAGAGGAATAATTTTTTTTGTAAAAGTTTAGTATTGATTTGCGGAACTACGGAAAATTATCTGATATAGTACTGAAAAACCTCATTTCGGTGAACATTTCTGCTTTTGCATATTTTAATATTTTTCAGATTTCGCTCGTTACGCTGAATCGCTGCCAATATAAAAATAATAAAACAAACATTAAGTTAAGTCATTTCAAAGGAAAGAATAGTCGTAGGGAATTTTGTCAAATTTGGATGCTTTTCTTATATGTTAGGTTATTTTTAATGTTCAGTTTTCCTCGAATAACTCTTCAAGTTCTACTGACGACGGTAGGACATCAGGCATTGCTTGGAGAATAGCATTATTTGGATTCAAATAATATACACTCAAGAGCCGAAAACATTATGACCACCCCTACATTTTGCAATGAACTCGCCTGGATGACGTGGAAGGCACGTGATCAGGTGGAAGTGGTATTTAACTGGTATTAAGTGGTGGTATTAATCCATGTCAAGGCGGGTTGAAGCTGTGTTGCGCGCCAAAGGTGGGCCAACTCGTTATTGACAGGTGGTCATAATGTTTTGGCTCTTGAGTGTAAATGTGTGATGGTCCACGAAAGGATTATGTTGATATTTTATGAACCACCACAAATGAATTTCTAGATATTTTTACAAAATTATTTTTTTTGTTAAATATCGGTGGGACTCTTGTCCCATTGATGCATGATACGAATGGTCCACCAACGGGTGATGACGGTTGGACATTAGTTGTTGCTTGGAGAATAACATTATTTGGATTAAAATAATATAACTGTGTTATGGTCCACGAAATGGTTATGCCGATATTTTATGAACCATCGCAAAAGAATTACATATATATATTTTTTTTTTTGCTGAACATCGGTACGATTCTTCCTGCATTGATCCATAGCACGAACAGTTCACCAACGGTTGAGGACTGTACGACATCAGCAATTGCTTGGAGAATGGCATTATTTGAATTGAAATAATGTAAATATGTGATGTTCAACAAAATGTTTATATTCATATGAACCACAAAATAAATGTCTGTTCAAAATCTAGATATTTGTATATTTTTTTTTGGGGGGGGGAGGAGGGGGTTCTTGTTGTATTGATCCATGATGGCACGAACCAATCCCCCACTGGTTGATGTGCGGCATGGATATTTGTTAGTGGTTCGGAATCCACGTTAAACTGTAGTTCCCGGCCTAATTAGTCCATAATGTGCCAAAATAACCTTAGAACTCAAACCAAACCAACGTTTGATCAGTCATTTACGACGATTAACCAACGTCATTAGCAATTGCTTGGTGAATAGCATTATTTGAATTCAAATACTATATATATGTTTGTTGAACATTGAATGGGACTCCTGTTTCATTGATCCATGCCTCAAACTATCCACCAAGGGAAGACTGTAGGACATTAATAATTATTATTGAGAATAGCATTATTCGAATGCAAATAATAGAAATGTGTGATGGTCCACGAAATGATTATATTGATAAGAAATACAAAATAAATACCTGTGTAAAATCTTGATATTTATGTTTTTTTATTGAACGTCGAAAAAATTGATTGAAAAACATAAAGTGTTCAAACTCAATCCAAGGCATGAAAGCCTTTTCCAATTCAAGGAGTGCGAATACACGTTCCCCTTCGGCGACTCGCGGCGCTGAACAATAAGCGATTCAATCTCGATGACATGTTCAAATGATTTCCCCATTAACTGCGCGTCCGAGCAAGCAGCTTCCTGGGGGAAGGAAATCAATTTCTCGCCCCACGCGTGTGCCGCAGAATCTCTTCAATTAGTCTCATTAAGGGAAGATTTCCGCATTCGAACGAGAAGTTGAACGTGAACCTCTCTTCGTCGTTCACCGATGCGAGAATGTGTCGAGATCCTCGAGTTTGCACTGCCGAGTCCTTTCACTGATTCGTTCGCGCAAGACAGGATTGAGTAGAGTCCTAATCACGCGAAACATTCTTTTCAAGTTCGTATCTCAAATTGTTTAAATCTTGATTAATGGAAATCCTGTGACATCGATATGTTGAATAGCTTATAAAAATATTACCGTTCATTATTTTTTGCCGATTGTTTATTGGTTATTATGCTCATGTTATTTGACTATTAGGTAAACGTGACCAAGTGGCTAGTGTTCTTGCCTTTAGTACCATAGGCTTCAAGCTTCAGTTCTAGTGGTTCGGAATGCACTTTAAACTGTAGGTCCCGGTCTGTTTAGTCCTCGTGTACACAAGATGACCGAAGAGCGACAAACCACACCAAACTAAATCAACGGCTGATGACTGTAGGACATTAGCAATTGTTTGGATTTCCATATTATTAGACCATCACATATTTGAATGTCCGGATTATTAGACCTGATCATCACATATTTATATTATTTAATTGATAATGATAATCTTCCGGAATTTCTGGAAGATTAGCATTATTTTAATTTAAATAATATAAATATGTGATGGTCTACAAAATGTTGTTATTAATATTCTATCAATCACAACATTAATATCTGTGCAAAATCTTGATATTTGTATACGTATTATCGTTATTTTTTTTGTTGAACATTGGTTGGAATCTTATTGCATTGATTCATGGTACTATCAGTCCACGGGTTGATTGGTGTAGGACATTAATAATTATTTTTAGAATAGCATTATTTGGATTCAAATAATATAAATGCGCGATGATGCACAAAATGTTTATACTGATATTCTATGAACCACAAAAGGAATATCTGTGCAAAATCTTGATATTTGTATACGTATTATCGTTATTTTTTTTTGTTGAACATTGGTTGGAATCTTATTGCATTGATTCATGGTACGATCAGTCCACGGGTTGATTGGTGTAGGACATTAATAATTATTTTTAAATAGTATTATTTGGATTCAAATAATATAAATGCGCGATGATGCACAAAATGTTTATACTGATATTCTATGAACCACAAAAGGAATATCTGTGCAAAATCTTGATATTTGTATACGTATTATCGTTATTTTTTTTGTTGAC